AATATTTAGGTATTATTGCTTCTCTGAACAAGTTTATAAAATAACTTAATTTGAGTAAATTAAAAGTTAAGTCATAATTCTCTAAAAATTCTTAGAATAACTATCAGCAAATCCATGTTCTGATAGTTTTTAAAATTATTAGTTTTAAAGTGAAGTTCGATTATTAGTAAAAGTTAGATCAAAAATTTTTTCGTTTTTTATTCTTGTTAAACAATACATTATGTTTGCTACATTCAAAAGCAAAAATGAGAATGAGGTGCTTTTCTGAATTTTATATTTTAATATTCAATTTATTTTTATTAATCAGTGTAAACAAATTTTTATTGTATGTATATGCAGTATATTTTTATTAATGATTCTAATATTTTACAAAATGCAATGCTTTTATAAAAGAGTAAAAATTGTTAAGTATTCAGAATTCATTTAAAATATTATCAATGTATATTATTTTATTTAATGCTGCATTATTTATTAGCATTGTTATGCTTAAGGCTTCATTAAGTTAAATTAAATCTAAAAAAAAGTAGTTTATTCTTTATTCATTATTAAACTATTAGTGCTAATACATACCTATTACTTCACAACTTTTTATGTATATGTATGCAGCATATTTGACATTTTTAATTCTTTTCGTCATTCAATTTTTTTCAAAAAAGTTTTAATTGAAAAAAAAAATATACTACCTTACATTTTTTATGAAAAAAAAGACATGATCATTTTATCAAGTAAATTCATACTGTTGTAAACTGATGGAGTAAATTGAATACTGCTAATTAATGATAATGTTAAAGTATGACATGCTGACAAACAAAGGAGAACTCATTGTTTTTCATACAGTAACAACTGTTGTACAGAACTGTTTTTCATACAGTACAGTTCATACAATACAGTAAATATAACAGTTTGCATGTTAAATTTTTATTTTTATATTAAGTTGAAATGTAACGTAACGTATTAACATATTCAAAATCTTCAATTATTTCTTTTTATCATGTTAGAATGCTTATGGAAATTTCATGTGATATTATGTAACTCGACGAGAAATGTAAAAGAGAGAAAATTTTTATCCGAGGAAACTTATCAGTATTATCAGCTGTCCCTACATATCGTGTGGTTATAAATCGTAACTCGGAGAAAGATTTGAAATAATAAATAGCACCTTTTAGCTCTAATTTTACTTTCACTGTATATATATTTACTTCACCTGAACTCCTGCCTATAGACAGACTTCCAGTCTTTCTAAATCAGCAACTTTGGACCTTGGGACTAATAAATTCCACATTCAAACAACTTTCTAAATTAGTTCTTCTCAAATGCATGTGGCTATGACCCTCTTATTTTTATAATGTTTTACCTGTACAATATTTTCAAGGAAAATATATTTTCAAGGAAAATATTTGTTTGTAGGGTTTAAAAATGTATCCATTTAAAGGACTTATTATTTGAAACAATGATAAAACCCGCTTTTCTATATTTTTATAATCAATTGAAAAATTAGGGAGTGGGATTTCCCATTTTTAATCAGTTTATTGGACATAATGCATTTATAAGCATCATAACTGACATTTTCATTTTATGATAAATGTTTCTCCTATTGGTAATGAAATAAAAAATTGCTTTGATAACCGTAGCAAAGATTTTTTCGCCTGCACCTAAAACAGCAATAAATGAATGATTTTAAGACTTTTAATATGTTTTCATTAATTAATTAAATATAGTAGTGAAAATATAATTTTTAAAAAAATATTAAATAACTAATAAAATGTTAAAGTAGGGGTGCTCAACCTGCCGCCTTCGGGCCACATGCGACCCGCTGACCTCTGAAGTGCGGCCCGCGAAAGCTTTTAAACACAATAAAAATTAAACAAAAATTTCAAAAATAAAAAAAATTAGAAAATTTTTAATCGCACTTTTGAGTCATCCGTTTTGACGAGCTCAATTTTTACAGATTGCATAGTAAATGTATGTTCAACGCGCTTTCCTTAAACCAATTTTATCGTAAATCTAAATGATTATTTAAGCAGTTATTTCCGCTTTTCAAAGCGATTTCGAAAATCCCGAACTTTTATTAAGATAATTATTACGACACGTAAGCTTCAGATCTCTAATTTAAATAATCACTTTTTAGCGCACTTGTGCCGATTTCATCGTAAATCTAAGTGACTTTTTTTATTTTATTTATTTATTTATTTTTTGCAATTGTTTCTTTATTTTTTTCAAAAATTTTTTCGGCAGTTATTACTATGCATTAATACGTAGTATAAAAATTCCGATAACTTTATTACAACATGCGAATTTTAAAGCGCGCATTTGACACGCTTTATTCGTGCTGAATTCAGAATGCATTTAAGTGATTTTTTTCAATTATTGCAATACTTTTCTGCGTGATTTTGACGATCACGTTATTTAACTACGATGTTATTACGACACGTGAATTTCTTATTGCGCATTTAAATAATCGGTTTTTGATACAGTATTTCGGTACGGATTTATCGTAAATCCCAGTTATTTTTTCTTCGTTTTTTTGTGATTTGATCAAATATGATAATGAATTGTGATTCGGTCGAATGCCGAATATTCGACAAAAAAATTCGACCTAATACCGTATATTCGGGGTCAAATAGCAAAATTTTTTTAGCAGCATAGCAGTACTGAAACCCAAATTTCAGTGTTAAGAATAATATTTTCTGGAAAAACGTAATCATAAAACAACTCTAAAAAATAAGGCATATCAGAAACACTTTTGAAAATGCCACGCTAGCATAAAAACTAAAGATATATACAAAAGCGAAACAGAGAAAATAAAAATCAATCTTAATTTTCGAAAGAAAATTTTAAAGCTGAACTTCTCAGCTTTCCAATTACCAGAAAAAGTCAAGAAAAAAGAATTCAGCTCAACAGAAATGATCTTAAAAATTGCTGCTTTAAAAACGTTTATAAAAAGGGGAAAAACAGCTAGATCGAAACAAAAACAGAAAACGTTCTTAATTTTTTAAATGAAAATCTTGCTGAGTCATAATAAAAATGCCTATAAACGAAACGTTTAAAAAGAAAAACAGAAAAAAAAAACAAATTATCTTAGTTCCTAAAACAAAACTTTAACACTGAAAATCACAGTTTTCTATGTTACCGGTTATCTATATTTCAGTACAGGGAAAAAGTGACACTAAATGCAAGCCATGCGTATAAAACATGGATTTTAAAATTTAACAAATTTTTGTAAAAGCTATTTCTTATAAAAAAAAACTACTATAATATAGTTTTAAAATACGATTTTATATTATTCCTTATCATATCTATAAAAATTCAAAAAAGAAAAAGAAAACTACATTGCTAAATATTTGGCCGATCATTTGACCAACTGAATTTTTGGCAAAAGGGCCAAATACTCGTTACAACACTAATTTAAATGCAATGTTATTGCAACCTGAAAAATTCACAAAGTGGCAGAAAACGTGAATTTTTAAACTGCTCACTGTTTGTAATTTTGATTTCAAATTTTTTGTTGCTTAAGTGCTCTTTTTCGGTAAAAAAAATAAATAAAATAAATAAAAACGTTCACTATACGATAAAATCTAATAATCAATAAAAAGACATAATAAAATACAATATGTATTGAATTTTTTTTTTTGTAAAAACTATTTCTTATAAAAAAAAACTACTATAATATAGTTTTAAAATACGATTTTATATTATTCCTTATCATATCTATACAAATTCAAAAAAGAAAAAGAAAACTACATTGCTAAATATTTGGCCGATCATAATGAATTTCAATTATCTGAATTTCGAACTATAACAGTTTTGTTTTTATTTTAGGCTTTTGTTTAAACCTTATAAATTTTCTTCAATTAAAATATTTAATTTAAATTTATACTAATTTTTGTTTAAAATTTAAAATTAGTTTATAATTAATTATGAACTAATTTTTTTCTACTTTCATGCTGTGAACATGGCAGTTTTTTTTAATAAGAATTTATTTTTAAAATGATTTTTTGTATTGTGTGACATGATAAAAAAATATTTCTTTTCTCCAATGTTTATTTATTAATTTATTTTGATAAATCTATTTTTGATATGATAAAAATGGGGAAAAAAATTGAAAAAAGTATTAGTTTTTTCAATTTTGAAAGAATTCTAATTATCGAACGCCTTTAAATTACTGAGTTTATTGATTAAAAAAATTAGAACATTAGAATGTTTAAATAAATATTACTACATTTGCCGTCAACATATCTAAATACATGTGCGGCCCTTCGTTAGTCAACCTGCTGTACAAGTGGCCCTTGACTCAAAAAGGTTGTGCACCCCTACACTATATAAATGTAAGGTTGTGTTAAAGCATAATTTTCGCTATATGAAAACAAAATCTTCCGGAAGCCGGTAACTATATAAATGTGCACTAATAAATATATCATATAAATACTCTTTTTAAAAAAAAAAAAAAAAAAAAAAAAAAANTAACGTATAATTTTTAAAAATTTATTAAATAATTAATAAAACGTAAAAGCATAATTTTCGCTATATAAAAACAAAATCTTCCAGAAGCAGGTAACTCTATAAATGTGCACTTTATCAACAAACAAATACTCTTTTTTTAAAAAAAATTAAAATAGAACGGAATGGAAAATACAGGTGTATTCTGTGACTGAGTTTTAATTGTTGCAAATTGTATTTGTGTTTTTCGATACCAATCTTATAATTTAAAAGGAATATTATATCTTCTTATATTTTGAATATCTTATAATTTAAAAGGGGAAAAGAACATTTTATTTTTATTCTCATACAGTTTATTTTCATAATTACGATTTAAAAAAATATACCATGGTTGCTGTTTTTATTGATGATCAAGGTTTTCGAACAATCGTTGGGCTAGATGCGACGACTGAAATTGTTGAGAAATATTTTAGGTGTACGTACGAGAAGGGGGGAAAAAATAATGCATGTTGTAAAACATATTTATTCTAATTATAGATAGATGTGTTTTTCTTTTCTTTCAGATTACAACCTATTTCATTAGCTGCCAAAGTAAAAGACTTTGACGTAAAAAATGAGCCTATTTTGCAATATCTCAAGGACAGTGACGAAAGAAAAGCTCTCTATAAGGCTATTGACAAGTACAAGAATACCTGTACTGAAATACCTATTATAATCGGAGGCAAAGAATTACAATCCAATGAGATCAAATACCAAGTCATGGTAAATATTATTTCATTTTTAAGCTATCAATTAGAATAATAATAATAATCACATCGCTAAAATTACTTAAGAAAATTTTTAAAAAAAAATAAATATTTTCTTTTTACGAAATTTAAATAGTGCTTAAAAGTTGTTATACTAAAAGAGTTACTTATAAAGTTATACTAATAAAGTTAGTTACACTAAATTCATCTAGTACTCTTAATTTCACATGTAATTTTATATTAATGTTATATATTGTTTGCAACAAAACACCGCTTATTTATTGAAATTGAATAAAAATTTAAATTCCCACCCCAGAGTGGGGTAATGAGAGACACAACATTAAAGTGGGAAAAACATAATTCCTTTAGTATATAGTCAAAATTATGAAAATAAATATTAAATTTTATTGAAAAAAATCTCTTTAAAGAAACAGATTGAAATTATAGATGATGGTATTTTCTTAGTGAAAAACATCACTTAATAAAGTGAGTCGTTAAATATATCGTTGAAAAAATTAATTTTATCAGAAACAATTTATAAATTTTAATCTCAGCCTGAAATCAAGTTATACACAAGACTTGAGAGTAGGTAAAATGTAATAAGAACAGAAAACAATATGTAAAAATAAGAAGAAAAAGTTAATTTTTCTGAATTTTAAATAAAATTCTCTTTTCTAATTTTTTTATTAATGTTTTTGAAATTTTGCCTCGCTTGCTTATCGAATTAGTCTTAATACTGCCTTTATTTAAAAAAAAAAAAAAAAAAAAAAAAAAAAAAAAAAAAAAAAAAANAAAAAAAAAAAAAAAAAAAAACCTTTTTGATCAAGCAAATTATATTTTAGTTGGTTATTACTTAACTAACTTTTAGAATAGTATCTCATTATTGATGCAAGTGAAGCAATGTTTGTTTGTTATTATTTTTTTTTTAATGCATAAGAATCGTGTTTATTCTTCTATGAGTTAAGTGTTACATATTTGGTCTAACCTGGTTACGACTAATATGCATTTATTGAGTTAAGATAAATCATCTACGACAAATTCAATTTTATCTTTCTAATATTACTATAAATTAAAATGTAAAACCAGGTGTCTGAAAAATGGTCGATAATTTAAAAAATTAATTAAGGAAAAACGGAATGAGATAGAAATGCGCTATTTGTGATGTTCTGTTTAGGAAACTAGTTATTTATTCTTGACAAATTTTAAAGTTAGTTTCAAAGTTCGTCAACGGAAGGCATTTTCTGATTCGAAAAACTCAAAAAATTTTCTCTGTTGTATGGCAGACCATTAAAATGCCTTCTTTTTCTATTGGCATGGCAGCCCTTTGTAGGCCACAGCCTTCCCTACTACCTTTTTCCATTCTGCTCTTTTCTTTGCGATTTTTTTCCAGGTAGTAATTCTTAGGATTTTAAAATCCTCTTCTACACAGCCAAGCCATCTGATCTTAGGCCTACCTCTAACCATTACAATTTACAATCGAAAAATTTACACGGGCATGGCGTCTGATAATTTAGTCTTCAGTCTGCATTGCATTTTAATGCAAATGCTGGGTGTTTTAAAAATATCACATCATATGTTATTTAACAGCGCTATTTGTTTCATTGTACTTTGTGGCTAATTTTGAAACTTGGTGAGAGTAAATTTCTTGTTTCCTAAACAGAAAGCAGCAAACTGTAAAATTTCCTCCCGTTACATTTTAATTATTTTTTAAAAATTTTTGGTCACTTTTGGGACACCTGGTATATGTTATAAAAATTTTAAAAAAAATAAAAGTGAAAAGAATAGTTTACTCTCTTATTACATCTTATATTTTTGGATAATTTGGAGCAATGTAAAATTTTGTTAGTTTGAATTGCTTCAAGTTTTATTTTAAATAATCTAAAATAACACTTTTTATTCATTCTTTAACACAATTTAATTTTTTAACTTAGCCTTCTGACCATGGAAAGAAGATAGCTAAATATCACTGGGCTAATGCTGTAAGTAAAATATCAAATAATTTTATTTGCAAACTTTTTTCATTCATTATAAATTTATTTGTTTTTCTTATTTACTAAGTATTCAAATACTCTTTATCCTGTACATAATTTTTTTTATTCTATACTCATTTGTGACATTTCTACTGGCAGTTAGATCAATAGCATTTTAAAAATGGGCTTTCTGTAAATTTAAATTGGGTTTTCTTTTTGCACATGATGATAAGATTGCAACTCATTTAGTGTAAAATATTACTAAATCAAAAGTTAATAAGCCTAATTTTATTTTTGCTGGCTGTGTCAATCAAATCTTTAATGCTTTTCTCTACAGTATTAGTAAAATTGAATTAATATAAATATTATAATTTATCTTTCTCATAATTTAGTGATAGTCTTCGCCCATTTTGTGTTAGTATAATGATTAATATAGTGAAAGTATAATGATTAATATAGTGAAAAATAATGCATGTTTTTACCTGAGAAAAAGTTTTTAATGGTTAAAAAGTTTTTGATAACTTACATTGACTAAAAGAAATCAACCAATCTAATCATAAATCAGCATTTTTAAATTTCATTTCTTAAAACACTCATTTTTCTCAGTTAAAAACTTTTAAGAACAATAGTATGACATTAAAAAAATTGCCTGAAATATCATTTATTTGCTTTTCAAAAATTAGTTTAGTAAGGCTTTGAAACTGAAAAAGGCTGGTTTTGATGTTTGATATGCAAAAAGAAACCATGAAGGGGATTTCAAAATTTTTTTTATTATTTTATTCTTTAAATAGTATTATTACGATTTTAATCACTTAATAAGAGCTATCAAAAATAAATGAAAACCTGTTTTTTTTTTCCCTTTTTAAAATTTTTCAATAAAAGATTATTTTTGATGGGTGGTTTTCTCCTTTTAAATTCAAGCTAGTAATGCGATGTAGTTAAAAGAGTTGTAAGCAATTTCTTACAGTAAGACATAATGAATTACAGTGAAACCTCGATTTTACGTCCCCCGAATTTACGTTTTTCCCGCATTTTACGTTTTTTTCATCAGGACCCAGTTTTTCCGTATACCTCCAATGTTAATTTTACCCGGATTGTAAGTTTTTAATTTACGGAATTTCCCGCATTTTACGTTTTTTGTAGAAAGAAAAAAAATAAAAAAACGCTTTAATAAGCAATATTTAAGGTTTTTTACAGAAAGCAACTTGTCCGGAAAGCTGTAGCTGAACTAGAGAACGGAAACCTAAATGACGCCTGCAAACTAAAGTTAAGTGTTCTGGAGGCTATGCATTTTATTTCTGCTGCTTGGAGAAGCGTTACACAAAAGTGCATTTCCCACTGTTTTGAAGAAAGCGGAATCGTAGCTTCTAATGAACCGTTA